CAATTTGGAAACTCACAAACTAGATTAGGAAAAAGTTAAGGTGAGAATTCCTTAATATTGAGTGTGATTGATAAGCCCAGTTGATTTTAATGCCAGTGCACAGTGATTTTCATTGTTTATATTTTTGGAAGAACAACTGAAAGATATAAAATGTGACTTTCTATACTTCTTCAGATGGCTCCATCAGCTCTTAGATCTGCGGGTCTTTGTCTTAAAAATACATGTATAAAGATACAGGAAAACAAAGCAAGGTAATCTTCTAAGCCCAGACGTTCTCCTAGCGCTCTTGCGTGTGTGCGCAGATGCACTGATTGGTTTGGAGTAAGGGAGTTCTGGCTTTGATGCATTATCACAGTATATAGAAAATATGATGTGAGCATTTAGAATAGTAAAAAAATTAATAGCTATCTAAAATAAATCTGACCCAGAAGTCAGAATTGGATAATGGTTCTTGGTTCCCAATCTCAGCTCTTATCTATGCCTTTATAGGAAACTTAGAAAGATTTCACTTTTATCTAGTCATTTAACTTCCCCCCAGACAGTTTTTTAAAAATTCCGCCATGGATACTTTATTTTATATGGGACTATATCCCAGGAGAATAGACTCTTTAATGCCTTGAAATCAGATGGGGGTCTCAGTTCTACCACTTAGGAATGTGGTTAGATGGCTTACGTGCCCACTTAAACAGGAGAAGTGGTAGCTGCCCTACTTAAGTAAGATAATGCTCAGAAAATCACTCGTTACTTTGATTGGAAGCTTTCAGAATTGGGAGGTACTCTTTTTAAGGCTAACATTTTAAAATATGGAGGGAGTTAAGTAATTACAGTTGACTGCCTACTAAATGCTGTCGCTTTTGTCAGGCACCTTTCCTGTACATTAGCTCCTTTAATCCCCTGATGTCGGCATGAAGGTCTTCATTTCACAAATGAGAAAACTATGATTCAGAGATGTCAACTGCCTAATGTTCAGCTCTAGTAAATGGGAGAACCTGGGTTTGAGTTCAAATCTAACTCTAAAGCTTTTGATGTTTCCACTACTATGTGCTGTCAAATACCTTGCAAAATATTTGCCACAAGGTAGATTATGTTATCTCCAGTAACCAGAAATGCAGTTGAAAGTTTGGTTTTTAGAAATCTTTGGAGAGCAGTTCCCTACAAACTTATAAAGAGACTAGAAATATGTGCCTGCTGCAACCCATACCTACAGACTCCTGGCCCCCAAATAAACCAGAAGGCTATGCCTTTGGAGATCATAGCACATCCAGAAGTTTTTTTTATTTGTTAAATGAAGGGGGCTGGATGAAGTGTTTTCCAAAGCCCTACCAAGCTACAGAATTCTGATGGCGAGAGGGAAATAAGACATGCATGTGATATAAACACCAGTGTTTCTTTCTTTCCTTCCTTCATGCAGTAAATACATAGTGAACACATCTTATGCACCAGACTCTAGTGCTAAGCACTGTTTCCAAGTTCAAGGGTTATATTTGCTAGATGAACTTTCATTCTTAATTTTTTTAAATGCAGAATACATTTAAGAGCCTGGAGCACCAGAACTTCCTAGAGAAAGAAATAATTACATTTCTCACTTAACATTCTTCCCAACCCTCGTGAGCTTGCTTCGAAAGCATCTTCTAAAATTAAACATACAGTTCTGAATCTAAGCTTTTTCACAAAGGCAAAAATAATGAAGACCAGCCAGGAAGAAATAACACTTTTAACATATGATGGTTGCAAACATTAGTAGAATAGTGCTGGTCATAGTCTGAAATTTCAGTTCCTACACATGGCAGAATTCTCACCCTCTTTCTGAACCCACCCCCCCCCAACTCCCAACCTTGAGATAAGCAGTAAGTACTTAGAATAAGTTATTGTCTCAGTCATACATGGGTTTGTAGTATGGAGCCAAATTCCACTCTGGCAAAGGAAAACCCAAATAGACACAGAATATTGCATATGTTGACATATTAAAAACAAAACAAGCTCGCAAAATGTTTTGCTTGTTTTCTATTGGAAAATAATATCCTGAAGAGCATTTAAACACGGGGAGGGGGGAAGTTAAACGCAGTGTTTTCCAGTGTGTGAAATTCCTGGATCTATGCTGGTTTGCAAACTAAAATCCTAACTGGTTTTGCAGCCTTTCTGAAGTTTGATCAGAATGATTAAATAATGTGGGTTTTAAGGAACAATGAAAACCTCCCAGATGGACGCCACACAGCACAGCTAGTGTGCTTCTTCTAGAGGTCGTCTCAGAAGAGGGTTTCACTTTACAGGTATACCGGCCCCTAGACCAAGGAGCAGGTTTGCTTTTAACAGGTCCAAGTGATAATGGTGATATTTTGTCCTTTCGTTAATGGTGTGAATTTTATTTTTGAATAGACTTTTTGTAGATGGGATGCTCATTGTCAAGTCCTCTCTTTTGCAAGGCTTTCTCTCTCTTTGAGAGATTTGCTTTCTCTAGCTTTGAAATGCAGCTCTAGAAAACAGCCCTCTCTTTAACAGACTTTAAATACACCCAGATCACATCATGGCCCCTGGAACATAACCAGTGTACAAAAAGCCTGGTGTGTAGTGCTGTTAGCCTTTCAGATCAGTAGCCTCCTGCCCTCAACCTCACCTACCATCCCCATCCCCATTAAAGGGTTTCTATCTTCCGTGTTTGTGTAATTTACTACTGAGTGAACTGCTCCAGCTGACAGTTGCTCCCAAAGATTAAATCAGACACTGCTTCTGTGTTAGGGAATTTGGTGCTCATGTAATTCACGATGTACTAGCCAGAGTTTTCTTAAAAGTTTCATTCGCAAGGAGACAGTTGGGTGTCATAGAATATTTGCATTGACTG